GATCTCCTGACCTCGTGATCCGCCCGTCTCGGCCTCCCAAAGTGCTGGGATTACAGGCTTGAGCCACCGCGCCCGGTCAATTTTTTGTATTTTTAATAGAGACGGGGTTTCACTATGGTCTCGATCTCCTGACCTTGTGATCCGCCCGCCTCGGCCTCCCAAAGTGCTGGGATTACAGGTGTGAGCCACCGCGCCCGGCTAATAATTTCTGTAATATATATTCATTTGTCTACTTTTTTACTTGGCACAGGCCTCCAATGCTTTTCCCTCTTTTTTTTTTTTTTTTTTCTTGAGGCATTGTTTCACTCTTGTTGCCTAGGCTGGAGTGCCATGGCACAATCTTGGCTCACTGCAACCTCCGCCTCCCACATTCAAGAGATTCTCCTGCCTCAGCTGCCCAAGTAGCAGGGATTACAGGTGCGCACCACAACACCCAGACAATTTTTTTTTTTTTTTTGAGACAGAGTCTCACTCTGTTGTCCAGGCTGGAGTGCACTGGCGCAATCTCAGTTCACTGCAACCTACGCCTCCCAGGTTCAAGCAATTCTTCTGCCTCAGCCTCCCAAATAGCTGGGACTACAGGCACACGCCACCACACTTGGCTAAATTTTGTATTTTTAGTAGAGACCAGGTCTCACCATACTGGCCAGGCTGGTCTCAAACTCCTGACCTCGTGATCCTCCCGTCTCGGTCTCCCAAAGTCCTGGGATTATGGGTGTAAGCCATCGCACCCAAGCGCTTTTTTTTGGTATTTTTAGTAGAGACAGGGTTTCACATGTTGGCCAGGCTGGTTGGCTGGGCACCGTGACTCATGCCTGTAATTCCAGCACTTCGGGAGGCCGAGGCAGGTGGATTACCCTTTTTTTTTTTTTTTTTTTTGAGGTGAAGTCTTGCTCTGTCACCCAGGCTGGTGCAATCTCGCCACCACGCCCGGCTACTTTTTTGCACTTTTATTAGAGATAGGATTTTGCTATGTTACCCAAGCTGGTCTCCAACTCTTGGTCCCAAGTGATTAGCCCACCTCGACCTCCCAAAGTGCTGGGATTATAGGTGTAAGCCACCACGCCCAGCCTGCCCTCTCACCACAAATCTCCTTCTCCTGGGTAACTTTTCATCATCAGAAGTATCTTCTTCCATGCCAGGCGCGGTGGCTCATGCCTGTAATCTCAGCACTTTGGGAGGCCTAGGCGGGCGGATCACCTGAGGTCGGGAGTTCGAGACCAGCTTGACCAACATGAAGAAACCCCATCTCTATTAAAAATACAAAATTAGCCGGGCGTGGTGGCCTGCGCCTGTAATCCCAGCTACTTGGGAGGCTGAGGCAGGAGAATCACTTGAACCCGGGAAGCGGAGGTTGCGGTGACCTGAGATTGTGCTGTTGCACTCCAGTCTGGGCAACAAGAACAAAATTAGGTCTCAAAAAAAAGGAAAAAGAAGTATGCTCTTCCAGGAAGCTTCACTGACACCCCTTGGCTGGGTCACGTGCCTCCTCTGGGCTCCCACATCTCCATCCCAGCACAGGGCCTGACACATGGGAGTTGAGGCAAGTTAGATTGAATGAACAAATTAAACACACAGCACACTCACGGAGATGAAGAGACAGGAAAAGGGGGCCAACAGCACAATACAGGTTCGCTTCTTAAATGAGCGGTAGGTATGGCCCTCTGCGCTCACGGGGGGGCACGAAACTGTCCTAAGGGTGTGGGCGACAGCAGGCGGGCACTGGGGAGCCACGGAAAGGTGGGGAGCGGGGAGGGCGGATCGCTAACTGCAAATGAATGAAAGTTGCATTTCTCTGCATGTCGCACGCTATCCTGTCCCAAGTTGTTTTCTTCTAAAGGAATTTCCTAAAGAATCGCCCCCCAAGGCGCCCCCTACCCAGATCTGGCATCCCAGCGCTGTGCACACCTCGGGGTTCCAGATCCTTGATCTCGTGACCTCCGACCTGCAGTGACCTCGCCAACCGCCGCGGCCGCCCCGCCACGCCCCTGCCCGCCCGATCTCCTCCGCCGGCCACGTACGCCACTTACGCAGCCGGGGCGTCCCCGCCGCCGCTGCCGCCGCCAAGCCTGCCGGGTGCATCCTTCGCCTTCGCCGCCGCCGCCGCCGCCGCCTCAGCCGCGGTTCGGAACGTGCCCGCCCGGCTCCCGTACCCACGCCCCGCCGGCGAAGAGACAGCCAATGGACGTCAGGATTGAGGGAAGGCCACGCCCTCCCACGGAGGCCTTGGCGAGTGGGCAGTGCCTTACGTAAGAGGCGGAGACTGGGTTACTGGGCTCCTGCTGTAAAGCGAGTGAGGGCCTGAGGGGCAGGAGGGCGGGGCCGGGAACAACCCCAGGAGGAGGCGGTGTCTGCCATGACAGAAAGTGACTGTGTCTTCCCTTTGCGGGGGCTCACGCCGGTAACTCCAGCACTTTGGTAGGCCGAGGCGGGAGGATTGATTGAGCCCAGGGGTTCGAGACTAGCCTGAGCAACATAGTGACCTCGCCCCACCTCATCCCTACAAAGTTGTTTTTTTTTTTGTTTTGTTGTTTTGTTGTTTTGTTTTTTGTTTTAATTTAGCCAAGCGCAGTGACTTATGCCTGTAATCTCAGCACTCTGGAAGGCCGAGGATCGCTTGAGCCCAGGAGTTTGAGACCAGCCTGGGCAACAGCAAGATCTCCATCGCTGCAAAACATTTTTAAAAATGTAAATATCGAGCGAAAGGGTCGATGGGAAATGCAGTTCTCTACAGACAGGCGTTCAATTTGGGTCGTTGAGAGCACTGGAGAGCCAGAGAAGGCTGTGGAGCAGGGAAAAGAGAAACATTTGTGTTCCTGAGGGGCTAATAGGAGTTGTAGGGGCTTATACAATTTTTGACAGCCCTTAGGTATTAAAGTAATTATTTATTTATTTTGAGACAGGGTCTTGCTCTGTTTCCCAGGCTGCCTCGGACCCCCTGGGCTCAAGTGATCCTCCTGCCTCAGCGTCCCCAGTAACTGGGACCACAGGCATGCACCACCATGCCCAGCTAATTTTTAGTCAAAACAGGATCTTGCTATGTTGCCCAGGCTGGTCTCGAATTCCTGGGCTCAAGCCATCCTCCTGCTTCAGCCTCCTAAAGCGTTAGGATGACAGACATGAGCCACAGTGCCCAGCCTTAAAGTGAATATTTAGAGTGAGAAAAGGAAACCCAACAAGTTAGGTGAGAAGAACCAGGTGTCTCTCTTGGAAGAGATCTTAAGGCAGTTTCCCAGAAATTCATAAAAATGTTCTCACATTGCAACCTGGTTCCCTCTGTCCACCAAAAGCATTCTACAACCCCCAGCAACTCATAGCACACAGGTGCACCTGCAAGTGAAGAGCCCTGCCGACCAAGCGTCCTTAGTCTCTCCCCTCTCTGCCCCTCAGTCTCCCCCTTTCTCTCCCTCTCAGACTCCCCGATTTATCTCAGGAAAACATAGTGGTGGAAGTAACTTCTGCGCAGCGATAGCACATCCGGAAGGATGTCAGCAAGTGACCCTATCGCTGTGGCTTCCCCTTCCTCCTCTGAGACATTGTCTTTTTGGGGACCCTAAGGGCTGCTCCTGGTTTCTCAGTGATGAGTCCTGGCTCCACTGTTGTTCCTTTTTGTGAGTGAAATTCTCGCATTCTTCTTCACTTCTGATTTAGCCTCTGTCCCCTGGGCTCCAACACCATTTTCTCCTCATCCTCAGCCCTCTCTCTTGCTCTGGTTGCTCCAGATACATCTCTTCTATAATTTTTTTTTTTTTTTGAGATGGAGTCTTGCTCTGTTGCCCAGGCTGGAGTGCAGTGGTGCGATCTCGGCTCACTGCAACCTTTGCCTCCTGGGTTCAAGCGATTCTCCTGCTTCAGCCTCCCGAGTAGCTGGGATTACAGTTATGCGCCACCACACCTGGCTAATTTTTTGTATTTTTAGTAGAGATGGGGTTTTGCCGTGTTGGCCAGGCTGGTCTCGAACTCCTGACCTCAGGTGATCCACCTGCCTCGGCCTCCCAAAGCGCTGAGATTACAGGCGTGAGTCACCGCGCCCAGCCTTATATATATGTTTTTAATTAATAAAGCAAGCTGCCAGGTACGGCGGATCACGCCTGTAATCCGAGCACTTTGGGAGGCCAAGGCGGGCAGATCGCCTGAGGTCAGTTCGAGACCATGCTGGCCAACATGGTGAAACCCTGTCTCTACTCAAAATACAAATATTAGCTGGGTGTTGTGGCAGGCACCTATAATTCCAGTGACTTGGGAGGCTGAGGCAAGAGAATCACTTGAACCCAGGAGTCAGAGGTTGCAGTGAGCCGAGATTATGCCATTGCACTCTAGCCTGGGAGACAGAGCAAGACTCTTGTCTCAAAAATAAACAAAAAACAAAAAAAGCAAGTTCATTGGCTTCCCGCTGGCCTCATGTTCACCCTTTACCAATTATGTGACTACTACTTTTTATTTTTTTGAGGCAGGGTCTCACTCCATCACCCATACTGGAGTGCAGTGGTGTGATCGTAACTCATTACAGCCTCTAATTCCTGGGCTCAATGGATCCTCCTGCCTCAGCCTCCCAAGTAGCTGGGACTACAGGCGCATGCCACCCTGCTTGGCTAATTTTTGTATTTTTTGTCGAGATGGGGTTTTGCCATGTTGCCCAAGCTGGTCTCAAATGACTACTTCATTTTTAAGCCTAAACTTTCTCATCTGTTTGGTGGGAATCATACTGGGAGGGGGCAGCGGGGGAGGGGGCAGTTGAGAATTCAGTGCAAGTTCAGGTGTCCACAGGGCCTGGCAGAATGTAAGCCTTCCATCACTGGCACCTACTGTGTTACTGTTTCTATTATCAGCTGCCTCTACTTCTGGACTGTCAACCCCAAGTTGGGCTCTGCCCCGTGATCTGCCAGCTCTTTAATAGAACCACCTGGGGCATGTCTGAGCTGAGCCCCAAGCCCCACTCCTCTGCCAGTCAGATGGGGTCAGGACTCTGGGCTGCCCTCCAAAAGGCTCTCAGGAAGGCCCTGAGTTCTGGCTGGAGTCAGAAGTGGAGAGATTTACAGGAGGGGCACAGAAGGAAAGCTTTCCTCTTAAATAGAGGCATGTATTTGTGATTCTGCCTGGCTCGTTTCCATTCATCCTTCATGCTTCAACTCAGCTAGCCCCTTCCTCAGGAAGCTCTCTTGACCTCCCTAGGCATGGTTGGTTGCTTCCTCTGGACTCTTTCTTTCTTTTTTTAGAGATGGGGTCTCACTCTCTCTTCCAGGCATAGCTCACTGCAGCCTCGAACTCCTGGACTCACGCAATCCTCCGACCTCAGCCTCCCGAGTAGCTGGGACATCAGGTGTAGGTCACTCTTGTGTCTGTCTCCCAGTTAGACTGGGAGCCCCATGGATGCATGGCACAGGACCGTCTCATCATTACTGAGTCTCCAGGATCATCCAGCGAGGGGTCGGCACAAAATGGGCATTGAACAAAGATTTGGTGAATAGCTAAGGATCCCCACTCTGTCCACGCGGGCACAGGGGACACCTGACCCTGTGGTGCCCGCTGTTCCCACTCCAAGGCACACGACTTGAGGAATGGAGCGAGAATTGGATTTCAGTTTGCCCCTTTGCTCCGTCAGCCGCGCGCCCTGATGGCAGTGCACAACCTTAGCTGCCGTGCGCGGTAGGGGGCGACTCCTCGGCCTGCCAGCTGAAAGGAAAGTTCAGATTCCTCTAACATAGTGAACCAGCCTTGCAGGAGGACGAGAAGGAAGGAATGAGGGGAAGAGAGGACTACTTCCACCTTTTCCATCCCGTTGGTCTCCTGGGTCTGGGAGCGCTGGGCTCCACCCTCTCTGAACTAACACCTGGTAGTTGGGCGTGCCTCAGTTTCCCGGAGGCGGGGCATTCCTCCGTCGCCGCCCCCCACCTCCCCTTTTTCCTCTTCCTCTTGGGGCTTCTGCGGCCGCGCCTCTAGCACTCCCGGAACTGAAACTAGGTGCCAGACGGTCCGGAGGCGGGGGCCACGTCAGCGGGGCCACCCCGGGCTCGCGGGGTCCCGGCGGGCGCCATGCGGAGGGGCGCGCTCCTGGCGGGCGCGCTGGCCGTGTACGTCGCGTACCTGGTGCTGGGCGCGCTGCTGGTGGCGCGGCTGGAGGGGCCGCACGAAGCCCAGCTCCGAGCCGAGCTGGAGACACTGCGGGCGCAGCTGCTGCAGCGCAGCCCATGTGTGGCGGCCCCTGCCCTGGACGCCTTCGTGGAACGAGTGTTGGCGGCCGGACGGCTGGGGCGCGTCGTGCTTGCCAACGCTTCGGGGTCCGCCAACGCCTCGGACCCTGCCTGGGACTTCGCCTCTGCTCTCTTCTTCGCCAGCACGCTGGTCACCACCGTGGGTAGGTAAGCGCCGCCCCGCAAGGCGGCGAGGACCGGGATCCCCACTTCATCCTTACCCCCTGAGGACCCCAGAGCCCTCACGAATACCCTTATTCCAATCCCCTCTGGGCTTCGGATCCCCCGAAAAGACCCCCGTGAGGACCCGGGACCCACGCTCATGATATCCGCTCTGCTCCGGCAGCCCAAGTCCGAGCCCTTCCTCCTAAGTAGGAAACACCCAGCTCCCCTCAGAGTACCTTTGCAGAGAACACCCTTTGCAGGGACCCCGTTCCTCCGTCTTTTTTCTTTTTCTTCTTTTGAGACAGGGCTCACTGTGTTGCCCAGGCTGGAGTGCAGTGGCACCATCTCGGATCACTGCAGCCTCTGCTTACCGGTTTCAAGTTATTCTCCTGCTTCAGCCTGCCGAGTAGCTGGGATTACAGGCACATACCACCATGCCTGGCTAATTTTTGTATTTTTAGTGGAGAGAGTTTCATCAGTTGGCCAGGCTAGTCTCGAACTCCTGACCCCAGGTGATCAGCCCGCCTCGCCCTCCCAAAGTGCTGGCATTACAGGCGTGAGCCACTGCACTGGGACTCCATTCCCCGGTCTTAATCCTCCTGGTGACCCGGGTCTGTCCAGTCCCCTCTAAGCCTAGGACTGTCCTCAGAGATCTCCAGCAAGGACCTAGGATCCTCTGCCCTCCAAGGGAGATTCTTGCCCCCTCTGGACCCAGATCTCAACCATGCCAGGACCCTTGACTTTATCTCTAGTCTGGGTCTGCCACCCTTGCCATGTCTCCTGACCCTCCAGATATGTCTTTCTGGGAAACTCCCCTGGAGAAACCCCATCTCAACCTTCTCCTGACCCTGGCGCCCCAGCGAGGACCCTAAATCTCTAGACCTCTCAGGGTGTCCTCACTAAAGACCTCCCTCCCAGCAGAGATTCCTCAGCAAGGACCTGGCACCACCATCTGGGACTCCTGCCCCTCTGGACCTAGGCCTCTGCTCCAGACCCTCGTCCCTCTCCTGGCCCCACACTCCCCAGCAGGCAACTCTGACCCCAGACACAAAAGCCATCCCTACGTACCCCACCCCATCTTGACATCTCCCCCATATGGGGTCACCCTCAGTGCAGGGTTTTCCTCCCAATAGGGACACCACCTGTTCCCTCTGGACCTGGGACTCCCTATTCAGCAGCCCCAGCTAGGGATGTGTCAAAAGGACCCACAGTGGAGGAACCCCGAGTTTTGGGAAACCCTGAGAAGCCAGACTTGGGAAATCTCTTTGTTGCCAGGCTCTGCTGCTCCCCCAGCCCCTTCTCAGCCCCCAGACTTCCTCTTTATTTCTTTGTTGGGGATTTGTTGAGGAGAGGAGGCTGGCGCAGGGCTAGCCCAGACTCCTAACTCCCCCTCCCGACCAGCAATAGGGGGCAGCTTTTGCTTTTGGTCCCCTGGCAGCAGAGCTGGGGGACTTCTCATTAGCTGACCTCCCCTGGGGCCTGCCCACGCTGCCAGGGCGGCCCGACCTGCTTCTGAGCTTCCCTGGGTCATGTGCGCGCTTCCTGCCTCTTCCCCGATCTTGGCTTCTAAGAAGTCATCCCTGGCAGGGCAGGTGAGGGAAGCCAGACACAGTCAGGCACAGCCCGGCTGCATCCCTGCTCAGCCACGGCTCATTGCCAGGCTTCAGTGTCCTCCCCCGTTGCTAAAATGGAGATAATAACACTCCCCATTTCCCTGTAATAGCGATAGCCTGACAGAGGACTTGCCAGTGCATGCTTTAACTCACTTAATCATCACAACAGCCTTGTGAGGCAGGCACCTTTATAGGCTCTATATTTTTAGCCATGGAAACCGAGGCCTAGAGAAGTTGGGTAACTTTCCCAAGATCACACAGCAAAGATGGCATAGAGTGGAGATTTAGTCAAGGCCATCAGGCTGCAGACTCCCATGCTGCTAGCCAACAGACCACACTACTTAGAAGAAGGGTGCTGTGTGTGTTGTAAAAGAAAAAAAAATATGCTAACACTTGTTAAAAACGGAAAGTTATTGTGGTAGAGGAGAGACCATTGCAAAGGCCAGAGAGACTGAATATAGCAAACACAGCTGGAGATTTACGGCTAACAAGTAGAATAAGGGAGTCAGTGGATAGAAGAATACTAAGAGGAGAGGCATTGGGGTAGGGGGATTCTTGCTAAACTCAGCTTAACAAGATTCTTGCTAAAGACAGGCCAAGGACTTAGATATCAAGAGAGGGTAGATGAGGGCCAGGTGCAGTGGCTCATGCCTGTAATCCCAGCACTTTGGAAGGCCGAGGTGGGCAGATCACCTGAGGTTAGGAGTTTGAGACCAGCCTGACCAACATGGTGAAACCCCGTCTACTAAAAATACAAAAATCAACCAAGCGTTGTGGCAGGTGCCTGTAATTCCTGCTACTCGGGAGGCTGAGGCAGGAGAATCACTTGAACCTGGGAGGCAGAGGTTGCAATAAGCTGAGATCATGCCACTGCACTCCAACCAGGGCAACAGAATGAGACTCTGTCTCAAAAAAACAAAAAACAGGCCGGGCGCGGTGGCTCATGTCTGTAATCCCAGCACTTTGGGAGGCCGAGGCTGGCGGATCACGAGGTCAGGAGATTCAGACCATCCTGGCTAACACGGTGAAACCCCGTCTCTACTAAAAAAAAAAAATACAAAAAAACTAGCCAGGTGAGGTGGCGGGCGCCTGTAGTCCCAGCTACTCGGGAGGCTGAGGCAGGAGAATGGCGTGAACCTGGGAGGTGGAGCTTGCTGTGAGCCAAGATCAGGCCACTGCACTCCAGCCTGGGCCACAGAGGGAGACTCTGTCTCAAAAAACAAACAAACAAACAAAAAAGAGTGGTGGGTGAGGAATTTGATCAGATATCGGGGAGGGTGGCTTGTAGGATTCTTGCTAAAACTGGGCCTACTTAAGGACTTAGGAGTCAGACGGAAGTGTAGTCAAGGAGGGAGTCTTTGTCCGTGTGAAGCGCTGGTAATAACTGATGTTTACTGAGTTAATGTTGACTGTTTTCATTGTGGGCGAAGCCTTGAATACATCTGGAGAAATGGAAAACCAATTAAACGTGATTCAGAGAGACCTCTTCCCACAATGCCCTTCATTTGGTCATAGGCCCAAGTCTTGGCCCTGGAATTGATCCGGGCAGCCTTGCTGCACTTGAGGCAGGAGGAAGTGGGTAGTGCTACCCGGAACTGGGAATTGGAGAGAGGAAGTGAGCATTACAATCCTTGTAACTCTTTCCACGCTCTTGCTAGGCGCTATGCCCTATCCCAACCTGGTAGGATTACTACCACATTTGAGGAAGGGATTGTTTGTTGTTTTTGAGACAGGGTCTCGCTCTGTCACCCAGGCTAGAGTGCAGTGGCGCAGTCATAACTCACTGCAGCCTTGACCTCTTGGGCTTAAGTGAGCCTCCCACCTCAGCCTCCTGAGTAGTTGGAACCATGGGTGCATGCTACTGCGCCCAGCTAATTTTTTTTTTTTTTTTTGTAGAAGGTTGTCTCCTTAGGTTGCCCAGGCTGGTCTCGAAATCCTCCTAGGCTCAAGCGGTTCTCCTGCCTTGGCCTCCCAAAGTGCTGGAATTACAGGTGTGAGCCACCTTGCCCAGCCAGGAAGGTACTACTTAACAAGCCCATTTTTGTGGAATAGGGAACTGAGGCTCAGAGGGGAGGAGTCATTTGGCCAAAGTCATGCAGGGAGTAAATGGCAAAACACTGTTTTGGACTCAGCTCTTTGAAATAGTAACTTGAGGCTCACAGGCCCCATGCTTTTCAAACTGTATGATTTGGCCGGGCGCAGTGGCTCAAGCCTATAATCCCAGCACTTTGGGAGGCCAAGAGGGTGGATCACGAGGTCAGGAGATTGAGACCATCCTGGCTAACACGGTGAAACCCCGTCTCTACTAAAAAATACAAAAACTAGCTGGGCGAGGTGGCGGGCGCCTGTAGTCCAGCTACTTGGGAGGCTGAGGCAGGAGAATGGTGTGAATCCGGGGGGCGGAGCTTGCAGTGAGCTGAGATCCGGCCACTGCACTCCAGCCTGGGCGACAGAGTGAGACTCCGTCTCAAAAAAAATAAATAAATTAATAATAAAAAAAAAAAAAAACATGTATCAAAACTCTTATGATTTGTCTATTTATAAAGATTCTCTTTTTTTTTTTTTTTTTTTTTGAGATGGAGTCTCGCTTCTGTCGCCAGGCTGGAGTGCAGGTGGCCGGATCTCAGCTCACTGCAAGCTCCGCCTCCCGGGTTTTACGCCATTCTCCCTGCCTCAGCTCCCGAGTTATTAGTTGGGGGTACGGGCCCGCTACTCGCCCGGCTTAGTTTTTTGTATTTTTTAGTAGAGACGGGGAGGAGTGGTCTTCTCGATCTCCTGACCTCATGATCCGCCCGTCTCGGCCTCCCAAAGTGCTGGGATTACAGGCTTGAGCCACCGCGCCCGGCCTCTCTTTTTTTATTATTATTATTTTTTATAGAGACAGGGTCTTCCTGTGTTACCCAGGGTCTTCCTATGTTACCAGCTCTGCTGGTGTTGAACTCCTGGGCTCAAGTAATCCTCCCACCTCGGCCTCCCAAAGTGCTGGGAGTATAGGAATGAGCCACCTCACCCGGCCTATTTATAAGGATTTCATGTCATTTGCAAACCTTCCAGGCTGCTGGAGTTTCCCCATCAAAAACCCTTGTATTAATAAGGGTTGGAGTCATAAGTGATACACCTCAAATTACAGTTGCTTAAATAAGAAGTGTATTTCTTGTTCGCATTCCAGGTAGTCAGTCCAAGTGGTACTGCATGGTCAGAGACCTAGGACTCCTTCTCAGCAAAACCCTGGTGTTCCTGCCTAACTCCTCTGCGCAACTTCCATTCCCAAGGTCACCTAATGGTCCAAGATGGCTGTGTAGCTCCAGCCTCCATGTCTGTGCTCCAGCCAGCAAGAGGAGGGAGGAAAGAAGGGAGACTGGCATCCCTCGCTCCTTAAGGACCCT